AATTTCTTCAATCGATGCTAATAAATTCTCCAAATATCGATATTTTGGTTGTTGCAACGACTTCGAGTGCACGTTTTCGAAACGTATATCGTGTGGACTTTCCAGCAAACTTATTAACACGTTTGTTTTGCCGCAATTCGCTGGACCGCAGATGATTCCGCATATAGAAATAGGCAGCATGTTTCCATGCTTGCATATTTCTTTTTTAGTCTGTACTTTATTGTCGACATTAGTTATTTTGATCGTCACGATTGTCGAACTTCATATTTTTTCTCTTCACGACACTAATAATAATATTGAAAAAAACGATCTCGAGAATAACATACAAAGCGAAACCGTTCATTATTCAAAATGCTTCTTATCATGTCGGACAACTGTGATGTACATAGTTTTACCGTCAAAGAGTTGGAATATATACCAAAAATTATTTTGCTACGCGAATTTAAGAATTACATATTGTAGATCAACTGTGGGACCGATTACTGAACTTTATAAAAGTTGATTCACAGGTTCAGCTACATCGTCAGTATTTGAAACATTATAATTTGCCCTGCCATCGATCGCATATTAATGATCCGCTAATAAGAAATTGTAGCAAATATCAACAACAAAAAGACTGCAGTTTCTTAAATCACGCGCTTCTAATCGAGTTGCATATCTGGACCAACAAAATTGATATCCCCGGATATCAATTTTGTTGGTCCAGATATGCATTTAGAAAAGCGATTGACTAGAGGCGATCGAGATGTTAATCCGTTGGACGCGTCGTGTCGCGAACGACATAGCTTATTCGCGGAAGACAAGTAGCTGACAAAATAATCGCTGAGGAGGCGCGGAAATGGATTACCGCGCCTTGAAAGACTCTTGGAAAGAGAACTGCTGCCACAGTTGTTTGGGCGGCTATGAAAGCCAAAAGGAAAATTGGGCATGCATAAAAACGAAGAAGAAAAAGCCGATGAAAAAACGAATATTATCGAGCAAAATGCGAGTATCTTACCTATTCTTCTGCTATTGGGAGTTTCGGCTCGTTGGTCAGAGATGCGACAGGAGTCGCAAAACTATAAACGATAATAAAGCCGCGCAACGTCAGTTGGAAACGTCATAACGTCATGGAAGGTCATGGAGTTTACCTCACTTCATGCAAGCGTGGACGAGGAGTCACAACGGAAAAAATAAAAAAGATTAAAAAAAAACCCTAAACAGTTGCCAAAATTGCCACGAAGGATGTAACTATTAACATACAACCGCAACAACTATGCGCAAAACGTATGCATATTCCATATTTTAGAGGTATTTTTATGCTTACTGTCTTACCAATAGGGGGAGTGTATCGAAACGAGAGCAGTATCGTGAATTTGGATAATGTGCGGATACCTGTGCGAGATATCAAACAAGAATCTAACCGCGTCCTACCAGGTACACTCACCATTCCTCTCCAATAGGATCATAATTTTAAAATCTTCACGGGTTTGGACGTAACAAAACAATACTAGATATTTTAAAATGCCTATTCGATCGAAGCTGAATCTTTATTGCTTTAAACAATTCAATGAATTACTAAAAATAAATAAAAGACAAACGGGCAATTGAAAATTGGCACAGTGAATTGGCACATCGGTGCGAAATTCGCTTCAAAAAAGATTCTTGAATAAATAAAATGAGAATTGTGAATACATGTTCGGCTAGTATTTTATCCTTCTTCAGCAAAAAACATGCGATGAACAGTCATGAAATTTCATCCATAAAATTGTAGACGTAAACTTATGATGTTAATAAAAATTGGCATAATTTGGTCGCAATGCAATTTGCATCGTTGTGCAGTAACCCTTACTTCATTAGAGAGTCGTTCTCACTAATTACAAGGCTAATGATAGTTATGATTAAAACCTTTAAATATATAACTAGAATAATAAGTAAAACCTTTAAATTAATATCTAGAGTAATAGGTGAGAACTATAATAAAAACTTACTTTACAGCGAAATAAATGAGATTCGGTTATTTGAACATAATTCGCATGAAGATTCGATTATCTGAACATAATTCGCATATAGATACGGTTACATACATAGACATTATTAATATAATAAATAAATCACTAAATATAATTGTTAAATAATGTAAATATCAGTGGAATACACCATTGTCAGTAATAATAAAATTAAATAAGATGTCAAAAGATTGTTTATAACGTGCGAAAATCCAGATTTGACTGATATGTATAATGTATATCTCAACAAAAAAAATCAATAGAATATCCTAAACAAAATAATATGTTTAAATTATATTTAATATATGTATTCTCTCCACTAAAGTCGTCAAAGATTAATAAATAAGAGTTATAATTGATGTTAAAAATCTTCTATTATAAATTATTTAGAAGAGGGCCGAATTATTTAAAACTGCGGGCCGAATTGTTCTTCTGAATTGTAAAGGCAATTAAAACTACTAGTAATCGCGAATTAAATTGACAATAAATTTAATAATTTGGTATCATCAAGCATCATATTATAAAGATGTTAATATGTTGAAATTATTAATAAACCTGCATCTCTTGTATTCCATCATCCTAAGCTATTAGACCGAGACTCAGAATATAAAAGATCCGGGTTTCAGAATACAAAAAATCCCCGCCGAGGTAATATTTTTTGCAAATTTATTAATTGCGTTTATAATCCGGAAAACAATTCGACGCGCAGTTCTAAAAGACTACGGTATAATATATATGCAAATACATATATATAGTGTATATTAGTAATTCGAGATTGAATTATTTAAGCGATGAAATAATGAAGATCCAATCGTAATAGGCATTAATTTTATATAAAATTTATATAAAAGGGAGTCATAACTATTAGTATTTAAAATAGAACAGAATATTATTAATTCATAAGTATTCACGATTGCATTACAAGTTTCAGAACACCGATCTAATTCGAATAATTTCGAAAATGTTTAATTCAAATTACGATTTAAGTGGTAAATCCACCCTGTAACTTTTAAAAAATCAGAAATTTTCTTTTTGCTTAAATTAGTTTGAGGTCTTAAGAATATAAATTTTTTTATCCAAAAGTGAAATTCCCAATATTAACAAAGATACAGTTGATCGAACAATGCACAGCACTCGAGTCTCCACGCCATCGTTATGTTCTGTTTATGAATAATTCCGTAATTATTTGACGTTATAGTTACATATCTGTATTGTAGCTGACGTTGACACACAATTTTAATATAGATTATACCGATTTCGATCATTGTGTTCATGTGTTTAAAATACGAAAAGAAATTATTATTGGAATTTTAATCACGTTTTTCTTAGAATGGTGTTTTTGGTATTCAGAACTATCATCAAAATTAATCCAAATTTGAAATTTGCCTCGGTTATTATCAATTGAATTATCTAAAGAAATACCTATGATTTTTGCGATAACTTTTTCTGTTATCCATATTTTGAATTTTTACATGAAAATTAAATTTTTTTTTTACACATCATTTTCACATTTTTCAATATTTTTTAATTCTACCAGATATTTCTCTAGTAAATTTAATGCAGATTAAAAATAATTTTTTAATTTTTGGCTACAGCATACCTTGGATCCATCGCGGAAACTTTTATTACATGTAAGTTTTCAAAAAACATGCTATTGCATCGCCATTTTGTTTTCTAGAATTATAATTTTTATACATTTTGCACATTTTTTTAGAATTATAATTTTTAAAGGTTTGTACAAAATACAAGTAACAAATAGGTATAAAAACATTTTTTGTATTAGGTTTTTAATAACCATCTCTCAAAGTAAAGTATGATTTTGAAGTTTCCAGAGTAAGCTCTTAAAGGAATACCTTTAAGTGATTGCGATAACCATGCATGATTAATTCCATACGGTATCGCATAATTTCAAGTGATTATCAAATGCGATCGGTTAACACCGGCCGCATTTAACAATGGAACCAGGGCAAGACCCAAATCAGCTGATCAACCTAGCATTTTAGATTCGGACATACGAGTATTTTTAACAAACATTGATTCTGCAACTTTCCTTTGGCCTAAATCCTTGTTATTATCCCTACGAGGGATATAACAGAAATCTTTTGATGGGTATCAGTGCGCTCCTTGTCCTGAAAAAGTAAATAGCAAGATTCGAATGATTGGCAATGGCAATGAATCACATCATGGTGATAATCAGCAAACCTTTGGCATCGCTGTAAATAAATAATTTTTCTTTCTTTATTCCAGATTTAAAACAAAGGCAGCATGATACTAATAACGTTCTCTGAATATTACCACTGAATATAACCCAATCTAATCTTCGGGCATTATATACAATACGTTTCGCTCATTGATAAAGCTTCTTTTAAATTAATTTTCTAATTTAAGATTTTATAGAAATTGATATTGCTAATTAGGGAGATAAATGTGCTTTAATCTAAAAAGAAAAAGGATAAATTAATGTTTAAAATTAAATACTTATATGAAAAGTTATTACTTACACTTTAACTTTTTATTTATTAATTTAGCTAATTAACTAGTTATCATCTAATCTTGCTTAATTCCTTATATAATTGGTACTGATAGATTGTATAAGTATTTTTAAAAATTCACTTAAGAAAATGTTTATTTCAAATAAAATAAACAATAAATGTCAATACATGATCAAAAAATTTAAAAACTGAAAAATAAAGGTTATACATCACAGACACAAGATATCGTTAGCGAGTAATTATTTGATTACAAAAAATTATAATCATAATATTATATATGTAATATTTAATTATTTGTAATTCGATTATAATTTTTTGTAATCAAATAATATATAACTACTCGCTAAAGATATCTTGCATATACCCTTTTTTTTTTCGTTTTTAAATATAATGTTAAAAATTAATAATTATTTATATTATTTACATTATTTTTTTAATTAAATGTAAATAACAAAATTAATAAAGTGTGATAACTTCTTATAATTAGATAAAGAATTTTACATGCCAACATTCTCATATGTTAGGTGAAGAAGCAAATTAATTTTAGATAACTGATGGCTTGTCTATAAAGAGAGTTGAGCGCACCCCTTAAGGATAATATTGTGATCAATATTGTGAGTACAAGTAGCATATCGTCGGCATGCTTCATTTCCATTTCATGATGTACCCAAGTTTTTTTGTAACCGTAACATTGCGAGACCATACCAATAATAAAACCGATGGTGGCCAGAAAATTATGAAAAAATTTGATAATCATTGGTCGTACAAACTTGCGAAGTTTCCATGCAATCCATACCGGATATCCGAGAAGAGTCACTATGCAGATGATAACCAATGAAGAGATACCTGTAATACTATGGATTGAAAGGAAGTGTACTGATTTGGCGTTATACTTCATTCCTACGCCGACTAAAGTCAGGATTACCCCAACGACTTGAAGAATCCAATGAAGGTGTTTGTTGACATGATGCGATAAAGAAGCGGTCAGCATATTGTCACTGGCAAGGATAAGAGTTGCCTCCGACATCAATAAAACGTACTGAAAAGACAAGATTTATTTGTAAACTATGGATAGAAGAAATTGGAATTTAAATCAATTGGCTACGTAATTAGAAATTCTTTGGCCGTCGTACTTAGTCTAAACTTTTTCAAGGAAAGGGATCTGTCGTTCGATTAACGTTTGAATTGATGCCGATTATACAAAAGGACAAATAGGTTCTAATTTGAATTTTGAGATTTATGGTAACTCATTTGTGTAATTTTCAAAGATATTAGAAGGTTACTGCCGTTTTTTCATTGCTAATGCCAACGTTTTGTGAACTTTGCTATTCATTTCAAGAGCGCACTGATACTGAGGGAGGCAAGAATATATTGAGGAAGAGAGGATAGGGACTTGCTTGATTTGTCAAAAGAACATATCTTCCATATTCTACGTACATTATAACTTGAGTAAATAATGATCTAGAGTTTGCCAATGTTTTACTATGAGGTGGAAGAGAGAAAAAGGTAAAATTGATAGGAAATTCCTGTTTATCTGAAATCGTATTTATATGTGACTTAATATCATGAATATGTTTCCTAGTGAGGAATAGTCCAATTATACATAAGATATTCTTAGATCTATATGTGATCCCAGTCCAAATGATCCTTGAGTTGTTGGAATTTTGGAACATTGTTATTTCTATAGGGTCTTTCAATAGGGACGCTCGAAATTTGTTAGATCATAGTAGCCATAGTAGCTGTTGTTAAAGTGACATCTGTCAAATTTGTTTGTCAAATTTGTTGTGAATTGTTTAGTGTATGGCAAATCATCATGGAAGATCATAGTGTTGAGCAACGTGTGTAAATCATAAAATTTTATTATCAGTTCTCCATTCAGAACTCCATTCGAGAAACGTTCCGCGCATTACGTGATTTTTATCCTCGCCACAATCGTCCTGCCGACTCGACTATTCGATGTTTGGTGGCCAAATTCGAGTCAACTGGTTCGATAAATAATCAGACAATACCAGTACGTCCCCGAAACACAAAGTCTGCTGAAATCGCTGCGTGAGAGTGTACGGGGTGGTCAATTTCTCGTCGTTCACAAGAACTTGGCCTTTCTGCGATTTCAACTTAGCGAATTTTGCGTCGGGATTTGGGTCTGCACCCCTATAAAATTCAACTGACCCAGGAACTTAAGGTAAACGACCATAGACAACGCCGTGAGTTAGCTGATTGGGTTCTGGAACAGTTGGAAGTTAACCCAAATTTCGCCAAACAAATCATCTTTAGCGATGAGGTCCATTTTTGGATGAATGGATATGTGAACAAGCAAAATTGTCGAATTTGAGACGATACCAATCCAATACCAATCACGCGAGATACACTAGCTTCAAATGCATCCCGAGAAAGTCACTTTGGTGCGGATTTTGGTCTGGCGGAATCATCGGTCCGTACTTCTTCCAAAACGAAGCGGGCGTTGCCATAATCGTCAACGGCGAGCGCTACAGATCGATGATAAGCAACTTCTTGTGGCCTAAAATGGATGATATGGATACCAATAACATGTGGTTCCAACAGAATAGCGCTACGTGCCACACGTCGCATGCCACGATGAACATTCTGCATGATTTGAGGGCATGGTTATCTCACGCGCCACTGGCCACCGAGATCGTGCGATTTAACGCCTTTAGACTTCTTCCTTTGGGATTATCTTAAATCGCAGGTCTATACGAACCGCAAACAATTGATGGTCTCAAGTCAACATAACAAATGCCATCCAGCAAATTCAACCAGATTTATGCGAGAAAATCATCGAAAATTGGACCGCCCAAATACGTGTTACCAAGCGAAACCGCGGCGACGTTATATTCCATACTTAATGTCATAAAATATTCTTTTAGATAAAAAAAAATTGAGTGGATATCTCACACACAACTTGTTTTATTTACATTTAAAAGTCGAGTGTCCTTATTGAAAGACCCTTTACAACGCCAGTGTTCGAATGATAAAAGTGAATGCAATGTAGATGTTCTCCTTGAACTTATTTCTCAGTAGGTATATTAGGGGGATTCTTTGTGGAGGATACTCGTCGAGGGGAAGCGGAGCGCGGGGATACTCATAGGCAAGGGAAAGCGGAACACGAGGGAAGCAGAACGCGAGAAATACTTGTAAACAAAGGGAACGCTTAAAAAATTATAATAAACTATATAAAATAAATCTTACCTCTTCCTCCTCCTTCTCCTCCTCCTCCTTTTCCTCTTCCTCCTCCTTCTCCTCCTCCTCCTCCTCGCTTCGCTTATTCCTCAGCCTCCTCCTTCTCCTCGCTTCGCTTATTCCTCAGCCTCCTCTTCCTTCTCCTCCTCCGCGAGGATGTGAAGAAACCTCCTCATCTTGCAGGTGGAGGAGTTCCATCATGAATGCGATGCATCAACGTTATTGAGATATACAAGCTGATCGACGCCCATATACACATCTTTTTCTTCTTCCTCTTCTCGTTCCCAATCATCGATGATGATAACAGGATCCTTGTCCTCCTTCTCGTCTAAAACGATGTCTTTTTTCATATGTCCTCTTCGACGGGAACGTTCTCCTCCCTCTCAATCAATTTTTTTACACGGAGGTTTGTGGTTTTCCATGTCTTTTTTTTCTTAGTCACATACAGATTGTTATGTAAGTCGCTAAATGGCGGAATATTTTTTTGCAGTTTATGAATTTAAAAAATCACGTAATATACTACATGCATTGTAAGTACTCTTCGTAAGTATTATACTCGCGCACGCAGATAAGATTCGGCTTTAAGCCACGCGCAACGACACTACTATGGCTACTTTTTACGCGAGACCGCAAGAGATTGAGATTATTAGATCTCAATAACGAATCGATTCTACATATGCTCAATCGATAGCGTCCACTCAAATTGTATTATACTAGTCGCGCACGCAGACTAGATTCGGCAAAGACTGACGCCGAAAAATATCCTTTGTCATAGCAATGCTGCCTAGGATATGTTTTACTTTTGCATTGCACTTATGGAAGAAATAAACACTTAAGATCATTTAAGATCTTGTAGCCTATAGAACTATAGAACTTTAAACACTACAAAAAAAAATGCGTAGGGCTTGCATGTTAGAAAAAGAAAGTGCGCGACGATAGAGTACAAGTACGACATTCTTTTTTATCTTTTTTTATGACTGACTTTCATAATACATTGTATTTTTTTCCTTTTTCTTTTTTATTAGCGCGTCGGAGCAAAGGATATCACAGATGGGTAGTAAAATAAAGTTAATACATATATAGTGATGCGAATGAATGTTTTTTATTCTGATTCACTGATCTTATTACACTGATTTTTCTCATTTTATTATATTTTTTTTTCGCGATCGGCAAAGTTCGAATATGATCAGATATCGCTAGCGTGGCTCAGATATCGCTAGCAGCGGTTTCTGGAAAAGAGAGGACAAAGAATTTTTTAATCACTTTTCGCTTTTTAGCAGAGAATAAAATGTATTGTCACTTCAAATGCAACTTATATTTTGATGGCGTTGATGATGATTAACACGTTGGTGATTTTAATGCTTTTCACTTTTTCCTTCAATGATAGTGAACTTGGCGGACCTGACGACAAGGAATGATACTCCGTGCGCTCGAATTTCGATGTATATATTCTTTTACTCGATCCATGTCTTATCGCTTCGTAATTAAAATTTACAATTGAAAAAAATTTTATACACTGTTTATATATACTGTCAAATTTGTGACATGTCATGATGTGTTATGAGAAGCACCGATATTTTGGCTGCTAACTCTTCTGTAAATGTGGAAGACGGAATGTGCAGGTATCCGTACAAAAGCTATTCTCCAAATCGACGCACCCCTTTTTTTATCGATTTCACTTTTATTACATGAACATGCATTCTCTCGTCTAGACAGTATTTACTTAAATTTTATCATCGACAATCTAAAAAATTAAAAGCTGCGCTTTGTGATCCCATATTTATTTTACTAATTTCTTGTTGTTGATAAGAAAACGCTCTTCAATTTGCTTTTATGTATTTGGAAATATGAGTTTTTATCTACACAGGATCTGTGATCCACATTTAGATTTTGTATGACTGTTTACTGAACTGATCATATTTATATAGAATTTTTTCTACATGGGTTGTAATCATTGTCGTAAATTTTATTGCCGTAGATCAAACGGATTCTAAGGATCTATGTTTTTGCTTATGTTTCTAATATCGTTCAGAAGATTTCTAATGACACGTTTCATGAATATTGTCACGTTCGCAGATCGGTAACTATTAACGCTTGAGTTTTATGTTCGCGTTTTATCCTAATGACTATTTTTGCCGAAATTTTCACGAAACGGAGAAATCGTGAATGGTATTAAGTGTACAACTTTGCTCCCGCCGTTTTTTTCCGAAATTCGAGACTTTATTGTAAAAAACTGGTTATACATTTATGATTCAAAGTATTGTCCATCGCTGGCTACTATTTTCTTCCATCTTTCGGGTAGCGTACGAATCCCGCGTCGAAAAAACTGGTCATCTTTTGAGGCTATCCATGAATCGATCCAATTTTTTACTTCTTCATAAGACCGGAAGTGCTGGTCAGTCAGGCTGTGTGCTATTGATCAAAACAAGTGATAGTCAGAGAGAGCAACGTCTGGAGAATACGGCGGGTAGGACTTCCCATTTCCCAAGTATGTCTTGACCACTTTCGCAACATGGGGTCGAGCATTGTCATGCTGCAAAATCACTTTATCGTGTCTCTCGTTATATTGCGTCTTTCAATGCTCAAACGCATCAATTGCGTTCGATACCGATCGCCTGTGATTGTTTCAGTCGGTTTTAACAGTTCATAATATACTACGCCGAGCTGGTCCCACCAAATACAGAGCATGACCTTGGAGCCGTGAATATTCGGTTTGGCCGTCGACGTGGAAGCATGGCCGGGAACTCCCCATTTTCTGCGCTTGGGATTATCGTAATGAACCCATTTTTCCCCAGTCACAATGCGATGCAGATATCCCTTCCGTCTTTGCCTTTCAAGCAGCTGTTCACAAGCAAACAAACGCCGTTCAACATCTCTCGGCTTCAATTCATACGGCACCCAATTTCCTTGCTTCTGAATCATACCTATGGCTTTGAGGCGTTTTGAATTGGCTTGTTGAGTCACTCAATGATCGTTCCAATTCTTCTTGATTTTGACACGAGTCTTGCTCAAGTAATGCCTCCAATTCTGCATCTTCGAAAACCTTCTCTCTTCCCTCGCTATGCCGGTCTTCGACGTCAAAATCACCGTTCTTGAAGCGTTAAAACCACTCACGACACGTTCTTTCACTAATAGCGGCCTCACCATAAATATTTGAGAGCATTCGATGCTCTCAGCTACAGATTTCTTCATATTGAAGCAAAAAATTAAAACCTCCCGCAAATGACGAGAATTTGGCTCGTAAACTGACATTTTCAATCGGGAATAACTTTATGATGCGGACACAAATCGACTAATGTTTCTATGGGGTTATGTTGACAAATGCCCAAGTTTATTGTATGATGTCTATGATCTATTTATTTCGACCATCATTTACCGTTAAAGCCATTTATAGGAAAACGGCGGAAGCAAAGTTGTACACCTAATAATATATTTATATCCACTGGATATAAATATATTATATAATAGTCATAAGTGACCTATTATACCTCGACATCTCAGTTGGTGCCTTGGGAGACTGTTGAATCGATCACAATAAGAGCAGCGTGAAAAGTGTGGCTAGTGTGCGAACATTGAGGATATAGCCGACATAGTCAAGAATGTTGGAAAGCAGACAACTCGTATATATTATAAATGAGGTGTTTATAATAGAAATGAAAGAAGACTTGGAAGTAGACTTTAAGGATCCATTTAGCTGACACTGATATTGTGAAAATATATTTTGTAAAGAAGTACGACATCGATTATATTGATGCGCTAGGCGGTCTTGCGTGAATGCAGAATGCCACTGTATTTCCGTGCCCAACAAGTGCCCAATCTGCACAAATTGAGAAACTATTGCGAATAGTATTGTGAACAGTATAAAGAAACATGGAACCCGAAATAATGAAACAAATAATAGAACAAATAATGATGGAGGACCGTAGAAACGATGAAGATTGTAATATAGGTGATGTGTAGTTTGTTCTCAATAATCTGCAAAAGAGAAACATACATGTGCGAATATCGCCAATTCCTACGCGATCGAAAATGAAATATACATAGTGAGAAACATGGAATTGTTATCAGAGAGCCTATTTCTGAATGGTCTTTACTCGCGCAATGAAAAAGTGTACCTATGTTACGAAACGAATGTTACGAGGACGATGAATATGAAAGACATTGGTGGAATAGAAATGTCGATATAATAAACGACGATTATTGGACGAAGAAAATTACAGATAAGAGTCAGTGTTGGTGAATATGCATTAAGATTCCTGCGGGTAATGAAAAATGCGTCGAATTGCTGATTATTGACAATATATGGATAGAATTTCGTGATCGCGATAAGAATCCTGCGCTAAACTGTTTCTTGATAGATTCAACGATTAATGCTTTGAGTGTGAACAGTGCATTTTCGCAAACAAATATAA